TAGATAGATAGATAGATAGATATAGATATAGATATAGATATAGATATAGATATAGATATAGATATAGATATAGATATATAGATATAGATATAGATATAGATATATAGATATAGATATAGATATATATAGATATATATAAAAAATTATTTTGTTGTTTTTTAACAGAACCACACTATCAAACCTTTTTTATCGTCGACACCGTGTGTTCTGAGCTCCTGGCCAGCTTCTACAGCTGGTTAGGAAATTAAATTCTTAAAAGTTGTTATTCACTGAATAAACAGTTTCAGAGTTCTACTCTTTTTATTTCTCACCTACTTCCAGGGTCCAGAGCATTCATCAGCCCGTCCTGAAAGGTTCCTACAGATGTGTAATGACGACCCAGATGTTATTCCTGTAAGTGGTTTGGTCCCTGCTGGGATTTAAAATTATTCATCCTCATCATTTAAATGTTTGAATTATACAATGATCCTGAACTGGAGTGTGCAGACTCTAAATAACGCCCTTTGCTGACAGAAGATCCAATCAGAGCAATGATTTAGCCAAAACTGTACAAATACATGCAAGAAAGTTTTGTCTGTGAATATACTCTTATCCAAACTCTTTAAATTTTATGTTATATGCCGCTACAATGCACATAAAACATGCACTAAATGTTTTTTGTTTTAAAATTCAGTTGTTAGGAACTTAGCCCATTTTGGAGGAGAAAAAAATAGAAATACTTTCATCACTTAATTTAGGAATAACCATAATGTCTGTTACAGTTTGTCCTTTATCGGCCTCATTTTCTTCATAGTCTTATTTTAAATGTATTCTGTTCTACATTAAACCTTAGAATGAAGCTCTGTTTAATGAAGATTTTAAACAGGAAGTAAGTTTAATCTGTGGAAAAGAAAAAAAAAAAACATGAATATGTGAAAACAAGAATAATAAGCATGAAAAGACAACACACCCACTAAAGTTGACCAAGCACAACATTAAAACTATTTGCATAAATACATAAATTCAGTTATTTGAATGCCAGAAATGACTGGTATTTAAAAAGAGGTTTTCTCAGTTAGTTTTGTGAAAATAAAAGATAATTCCAGGTAGTTGGTGGTTTAAAAAGGTTGCAGTTTGAGATCATGTTCCCTCTGCCTTTTAAAACATTCTTGTGAAGAACATAAAGGAAAATAAAGAAAAAGTTTTTTGTTGTTTTTTCCCCCCTTAGAATCTGTCTGGGGATTTTGCGGTGCATCAACTTTATGACTGTAACTGGATTGTGGCCAACTGTTCCACTCCTGCAAACTACTTCCACGTCCTCCGCAGACAGATCCTTCTGCCCTTCAGGAAGCCTGTAAGCTCCTCTCACCTTGAACCATGATTCAGCATGAGAAGCCATCTTTAAAGCTCCATATTTCCCTGTTCTCTCTGTCTTTGGAACAGCTGATTGTGTTTACTCCAAAGTCACTGTTGCGCCACCCAGAGGCCAAATCGAGCTTTGATGACATGCTGCCTGGTGAGAAATGGCACAAAAAAGTCCAGGAAACAAAAAGAAGGCTAGGTTTACTTACCTTCACTAAGGAGGTGATGTTTTCGGTTCTATTGTTTCTTTGTTGGTTAGAGAAGTTAAGAAAAACATAAAATGAGGTTTGTTCTAACTTTGCCCACATCTTCATGAAAATTAGCAAGAGTTGTTTTGGGTTTTTTTTTTTTTTATTGGCAGAAATATTAATGATTAAGTAAACGAGCATTTTAACGTCTCTAAATTCAATCATCAAGGCT